TGGATTACGAGCACGGAGGTCTTGGCGAGCTCCGCTCAATTCCCGGCAACGTCAACAACGAAGATTGCAGTGGGCTAGCCTTCGGCAAAATGAAGAAGGTGAGGACGAAAACATTTGGCAAAACTGTCTCTTCGTTGACGAATCCCGAATCAGCACTCATCCAGATAACCGACGTGTCCGTGTCTGGAGAAGACCAGGCGACCATGAAAGACAAAGAACTGCCACTGGAACAGTTCAGCAAGGCGGAAAATCGGTGTCCTTCTGGGGTGGCATTATGATTGGAGCTAGAACGCCTTTGATCCCGTATCGGGGCTTCATGACAGCAGACATGTACAAAGCAGTTGCTATTGATGATATCGTCAGACCATTCCGAGTAAACCATGGGCACTAATTTGTACTGGTCGATGATAATGCGCCCGCACATCGAGCTCAACGAGTCAATGCTGCTCTTCAAGAATACGATATCACACGATTAGACTGGCCTGCCAGCTCGCCCGACTTAAACCCAATAGAGCACGCGTGGGATGCTCTTAAACGAGCAGTATGGAACCGTGAGCCACGTCCCCAGACAGTTCCAGAGCTCAGGGAAGCCGCTATTGAAGAATGGGATAGGTTACCCCAGGAAATGCTGGATAACTTGATCCTCAGCATGCCCAGGAGGATCTTCGCATGTATTCGAGCCAGGGGAGGAGTTATTTTATATTGAATTCACACCTTTTAATAATAAATTGTTGTTTAAGTGTAATTAAACAGTCTTTTTCTTTCTATGAAATTTCTATCACTATTACATTATGATTAATGGCTCAATTTTTTAAAATAAATAATAAAAAATAGTTTTATATTTTAATTTCAAACAGGGTATTCCTATTTAAAGAAAGCATACAACATAGATTTTTTCTTGATAAAGTTAAATTTAAAGATTTATAGGAGCTTATGCTATTGATCGCAAACTTTTTTTGATGTGTGTATGCAGACGATATTTCAATAGTTATAAACTCAAATGATAACAACCTGATGCAATATGAAACCGAAATGAATGACACGCTAAAATCAGTGGTGGAATGGTTAGCTGTAAATAACCTAAGTGTGAATTTTGAGAAAACAAACTATATTCAGTTTTCAGTAAGAGGTCGCAGACAAATTACCTTGAATATTAAGTATGGTGATAAGAATATACAAAAAGTAGAGTTTATTAAGTTTTTAGGCATATTAATAGATAGAAATTTAAGTTTTACGAACCATATTGACAGCATTTGCAGCAAAGCAAACAGCTTTGTATACGTCCTTCGTAGGTTAAGACGAATTACTTCCAAAAATATTGCTTTGTTGGCTTATCATGGCTATATTGCATCAATTCTCCGTATTGGATTGATTATCTGGGGCAATGGCTCTTACGTCAAACGTGCATTTGTAGCCCAAAAGAAATGTATACGCGCAATGTGCGGCTTTGGTCCACGAGAATCATGCAAACTACTGTTTGGTGACTTAAACCTTCTGACACTCCCTTGTATGTACATATTCGAAGTTTGTAAGTTTGTCAAGCAGCATCCACATTTATTCAAAATAGCCATTCAAATAAACCGAAGTGCAAAAAGAAACCCTAATAGACTTGTTGTAGACCATGTACCTAGGACTACCCTTTAACTAAAAAGTCCGTACTACACATGTATAAAAATTTATAATAAACTACCCAATGAAATAAAAAAACTGACATATACACAAATGACTACAGAATTGTACAAATGGTTAGTTGTAAAAAAATTTTACAGTGTGAATGAATTCTTGGAACAATAATTATGTATTATTTAAAAAAAAAAGAACTTCAATATTTTTTGTAATTCTTGACATACATATGTATTTTGTTTTTATAACTTTTGACATTATTTCTTTTTTGTAATTCTTGAATTTTTATTTTTATTATTATTTTAATTCTTGACATACTTAATCTGTGAAAATTGTGACTTATTTATTTAAAATTGGAATTGTCAATCAAGATAATATTATTAGACATTTGCATGCTATCGGATATGCGAAACATGTTTGTACTGGTTTTCTTTTTTTTTGCTACAACTTTTATACCATGTTTGAAGCAAATAAACAATTTGAATTTGAATTTGAATTTGAGTTCTTTATAGAAGAAATAAACAAAAAATATTTATTTAATAAAAATGTTTAACCATCCTGTCAATACACTGTCTTTTCATTTTATTCCTTTGCGGTAAAATAATGAGAGACGAGAATCCACAAAGTTTTGGAACTCCTTTGCGACTGCTTTACAGTAATTAAATTTTTATCCTTTGAGAATTATCTAAGTACATAAAGACCCTAATCAGGTGAGTATCGAGGGCAGGAAAGAGTTTTACTCTGCAAATGATTGAAATAAGATGATTTTGTTCGGCGATATGCGCTCTGGGGTTAGCGTTTAATAGAAGTAGAGCTCGTCTTGAAAGAGTTGAGTCGAGGGAAGTACTGCCACCTTAACTATTTCTGCCGCCAAGCAGTAATGTGAGCATTACTGTGTTCCACTTTTGAAGGGTAAGGGTGTAGTAAAGTTACAGGCACATGGCACTTGTCAACAAGGACGGGCGCACTGGCAGTGAACGGCATTGCAATTGTTATCTACAGGCGAGTCGCTTACCACTAAGGTCGCGATCTATTCGCCCCGTCACTTGGTGTCATGAAAGAAATACTATGTTAGTAGAGGTGACGATCGATTGATTAGCCGTACTTCTTTCTTTGAGTCTTGCCATCGTCGTTCGCATTTCTTCACAAAGGCGATCAGCGTCACATTTAGAAAAAATCTAAGAAAGCCAAGATAAATCACTGCGCGCCTGAACCAACCAAAATTTATTCACAGTTTTCTGTAGGTACGTTTGTGTAAAGTTTTCACTGTAGAACGAGCAAATAAAAAACGCACAGTGCATTTATTAGTTGTATTCGCTCCATACACGTCTTTAATGTTTCGAGTTGTTTGCGGGACATTAGTGCCTCTGAAGTCGTATTCAAAAACTATAAGGACTTTTACAAGTATCAATTTTGCATCTCAAAGCAAAATTTTTGTATTTGGAACAAAGAATCTTGCACTTTTACTTTTAAAGTTTCACATTGGGCGGAAAAAGATTATTCCCTTCAACACTTTACTTTTCTCATTTCACCGTGATCCATAATTTCCATTGCGTTAACTATTTTATAATTACAAAAAAGCTGAGCTACAGTAACGTCATTTTAAACTTCTAACACCTGAACCAGTAAATGTGGCAACATGTAATAAAAATATAGCCATGGCTCAGCAAAACCGTTCTTTTGTGTGTGTTAATAAAAAAATCAAATTCAAAAATAAACGGAGAGTAAGGGACAGAGTGGCAGTTTCCTACAAGTAAGTACAAATATGTACCTACAATCAGAAAACTCGATGCAATTCCAGTTTCAAAATATTTTTGTTTGCTAGCTGAGATTATAGATAGTTATTTTTCTGATGAAAGAATGAAATAAAGTAATTAAAATTTTACCACTCAAAAAAATGGTCTAACGTCATTAGTTGGTAAGAAATTGGTGAAAAGAAAAGAAACGTATAATTGGTGTTCGTTACGGCAAAATAACCCTTAACTTTTTATTTGTTGAAAGTACCTATATTCATAGCTCAAGGTTGTGCATGGCGGCGAAATGCGATGGAGACTGATAAATGCACCATTTTTTAATTTTTTTTTTTATTATGAAGAAATAATGTTGAGTGTGGTTTTGAAATAATTTTAGAAAAAAAAATAGATATGGGGATATGTAAGTATGAAACGATTTTCAAAACAGACTGTCACGTATGAGTACTTGCCGTGATAGTAATTTGAAACGTAACGCACTATAAGATAGGTCATAGTAACAAAACAGATGGAAGCGTTTCATGTTAAACCTACTGCCGTGGTATTTCTCAGTCAATGTTCTATATAAAATAAGTATGCTAACACTAACACGATTATATATGAAATTAAATAACTGCTCACAAATTAACCAATGTTATAAGTTATTATTTAAATCATTATAATGCATTGTCTTTACTATTCATATGTATATTAAATAATAACAATCCCCTTGCAAATCTTATCCTGTCTATTTTAATTACTTTCCAATAGAATGACGGAGATTTGAATATTAAATAATGTATAAAAATCTTGTCATCTAGTAACATCTCGAAAGCACGACTGAAAGCGCGTCTCGTGTGCGCGCTATCCTTTCGTCGTCGCGTCACCTGTCCCAGTATGGAGCCGTCCATTGTATGCTAATATAGTAACGTGCTTACGCGCAGAATCAAGCCATCCTCTACACTGCTGAGATATATTGGATTTGAATATATATCAATAAACAAAATATCTTAAATTTCAATCTTAAATAAATTAATTGGCATTCAAATTGTGGGCAAGAAACACGCCTCTGAATTTATTTATTTTGTAACCCAAAAGCTATGTTCCACGCAACCATATTCATAAACAACAGAAATTTCGGAAACTGTTGCACTTTTGGCCTTCTATTTAGGATATATACAGAATATATTTAATATATTTACTGCAAAAGTGCAATTTCTGTGCTCTTCGTTTGCACAAGTGCATTAGAATTGCGCATGTGGCTTTCATGGAGGTACTTGCGCAGTCATTGATATTACTAATCAGCCGTTGTGGCGCAGGTAACTTGACTGCACCAAAACGTCATCCAAACTGCTTACAAGTCGTTGCAATGTATTAGGTCTGAATACACCCTTACTACAAATAGTATAAAGAATTTTACCTTCATGTCCGATTAAAATCCTCTGCCCGCGGGAGATTGGACTCCGTGATCATGAGATTTGCATAATAAGTTCGAAAAATATCATTTACAATACGATCGGATACTGCATATAAGCTACGCGAAGTAGCTACCGAAAACTAGACAATAAATTTTCCTCATGATTCTAATTTAAAAATATATACTTGCTTATTGTGTTAATATCAGTATTTTGCTTACTTCTGTTTCAGACATCTGATTTAGAGTCGCTGCTGTGCAAGCAAGAGGGCGCTGCACTCGCGCCCGCCCACATGGACCTCTTCGACGGGGGCACCTCCTCTCGCGACGATGCCTTCCTTCGCCCCGCACTCTGGGAGGACATCGCCTCTTCCATCAGGAATATTGATCCTGAGAATGCGAATATGCTCGCTCCACTGGGAGCCACTCATGTCAAATTGGAAGCGGAAGATGCGCTTCTAGAGGAATGCGCCACTCCCCTCCTCAGTCCGTTGGAGATCAAGACAGAGCGGTTGTGTGCGCCGACATACGCTCAGCCGCAACCGCCACCACACGCACCGCAGCACCAACCCACACCCTCCTTCTCCAAATTCCCACCGTCGCGCCTAGTTTACATGTCACCACTGACGCCACCCGGTTCAGATCAGGGCAGCCCAGGAAACTCCATGCAGGTAATTTTTCGGGTGCATTATCGTATGTATATTAATCAGGCTTTGCGATTGCTTGCGTTGAAGCGACCGATGGTACCATCTTCTGCTCTGCGATTTTTTCATCTCATATCATGTTATCAAACCGTCTTACAGTAAATTAAGCTTCTTATGGAATACAGTAACTATTTATTTCTTAGAATATTAAATAGTTTTTTTTTTAAGTTTGTTGTTTAGTTGATTTCTTATTAAATAATTATTTAATAAGACGTCAATAGATTTTGTGAAACATTTAATATTTTAAAAGTGAAGTAAGAAGGTGTTTTTGCTATGTTTTCCGTACGCAGCAAGTGTGTGGTGTGTGGTTGCAGGGCGGGCCTCGCAGGACGCCGCCACCACCGTACCACCCGCCGCCGCTGCTGCGTGCGCCTCACGTATCGCCGCATCCAGGCGCGCATCCGCATCATCATACACAAGTAAATTCCACAAATCACGATATTTTATTCAACATTATTGTTTTTGTTGCCACTTTTCCTAAACAATATTGTTATTATAACAGTCAATGGCTCAGTCACTGCAGCTGCCCAGTCAGGCGCCCGCGCCGCCGCCGGCGCCACACGCGCATCCATCTTTACCGCACTCGAGACTCGCGCCGCCGCATTCTGTCAAGTACAATAGGCGGAACAATCCCGAACTTGAGAAGAGAAGAGTGCACCACTGTGATTTTATAGGTAAAAATACATATTAATATATACATAAAATACATCTATAAAAAGAATAAACTTGCAACAATATACATGGATATTTGGATTTTTGCAGGTTGCACTAAAGTGTACACAAAAAGTTCACATTTGAAAGCTCACCAGCGGATACACACAGGTAATCAAGGAAATAATGTACTATTCATAATATTATTTACCGAATCACAGCAGCTTCGCGAATGTAAGAACTCAACAAAGCCTCCAATATCATCGCTTAAATTATGATTTTCCAGTTATTGAAACAACTTTTGCGAAGTCTCGAAAGATGGATCGGAAAGATCATCAAACGAGAACTTTCACACAACCTTAGACTTTCTCAAGACATTATTAATTTACGCCTAGCATCGTCAAATTTCCACTTATACGAAAATCTTCGTGTGAGCATGTGGGCAGTACCTAACAGTACAAAACATTAAGCTTCATTACTTTTAATAAAACTCAATGTTTCGCTTCACAAAGTAAATGCCTCGGAATTTGCGTGCTGCTTGAGCTTGACAGTGCGCCAGTTAGATGACTGCACGAAATACACAGCATTTGAATATCAAAACCTGTTTTGTAAATAAAAATCAATGTTAGTCGTGGTGATAAAATACACATAATTTTATTTACACATGTAGTAAGAAAATGTGCAAAGCGAAGTTAGTGAAAATGCTGTAAATCATTTATTTTTACAAAAAAACAATTGTTTTGTTTTGTTTTTTTTTTTAAACAGTCTGCTTTCATTTTATGTGATATATAAACAAATCTAGGTATATACCATACAAAAGTTAAAGCTAATAAAAAATATGCAATAGGATACTTTGTAGAGCTTTGGTTTAGCAACAAATTGTTGTGATTAGCAAGAACGCTTTCCCAACCTTTTTAATTTTGTGATTATTGTTTTCGATGATTCTGAAATATCAGACTTACGTCATTTGACATGTCAGTCGAATTGTTTTGGGTATGCTGAGCGAGTGCGCATTTTGATGCTTGGAGGCGGCCATATAACCGTGTAAGACTTGCAGGTGAGAAGCCGTACACTTGCCAATGGCCGGAGTGCGAATGGCGGTTCGCGCGATCTGACGAGCTGACGCGCCACTACCGCAAGCACACGGGTGCCAAACCTTTCAAGTGTGCCGTCTGCGAGCGCTCGTTCGCGCGCTCCGACCACCTCGCGCTACACATGAAGCGGCACCTACCCAAGACCTCCAAATGACACGCAAGGAGGGGCGGAGACCAGCCGCCCGTGCCACCTAACACTCAGGTAAGCACCTAAACTATTTGTATAGATGAAGTCGATCCAGTCATTATTTGTCAAAATTTTGGTTTTCTTGTTTGTACTTATTTACATTTACCAGTTTTGAAGATCTATCATTTTGTTTTTGATTTTAAGGAGGAATGCAGCGAGAGCATCTTCCTGGAGTGCGACCTGGACGCAAATTTGATGGACACCTTGTACAGCGTGCTGTGACAGACGATGTCCGCAATCCCGCATCGCGAGTTCAACATCGTCGCTACGTCTTACAACTCAAATATTATTATCGCCGAGTGAAAATGCCTCGAGGTACACACCCGCACCGGCGAATAGCTCTCAAAACATTCTCAATACTTTAATTATTTGTATAAGTAATGTAGTACCCAACGGTGTCCATCCCAAAATTACCAGTTAACCATAATGTAAATGTCGTTGTTACGAAGGCACAAATAGGTACAACCGTACAATAATCTACAGCATTACCAAGGAAATCGCTTTACGTACATACCTAAATATTATTACTAATTGTAAACGATTAGAACAGAGTCATCTATAGCAGCCCAAAACAAGTGTATTTTATAAATGTTTATATAATTAAATAAATGACAAATATTTTTAACGGGGCGGGAGTCGCGCGACACCGTAGCTAGTATAATTTTAGAAATACGTTTATACTGATATTGTTGGTTAATATGACAGTACTGAGAGTACAATAATGTTCACGGTAAAGCAAGGTACTATACGTGGACACTCATTATATTATCACAATCTGCAGCTAGGTGTTAAACAAGTTTTAGTTTCTTTCTGCATTTCTTGCAACGTGCTTGTTATATTTTTTTTATTTATAAATACCTTTTGCACATTCACGCTCACGATATGGGGCAATTCGTTAAGACACTAACAGGCTACTTACGCGAATGTGTTAAAAGTGAACTTATATAATAATTTTCAAATACAATCGTTAAACATAATATTTATTTAAAAAAAAATTGCTCACTGTAGTAGCGCCGGTGTCGCTACAGTCCTCGTCATCGCAAAAGCTCTAAGTATTCATTAGATATGATTAGTTAATTTATTATAAGTTAATAGTAAGAAAGGTAAGAGAGCAAGAAATATCCAAGATATTATGATTATCTTAATAATATATTATAAATGATGAATAAATCGAGTAGTCCGTAGTCGTTAGTTTTTAAAGCTCAGGCTTAGTTTCGAATGTTACGACCTGCAATTACGGGAAAATGTAAGTGCTAAAAGCCAGATTAATACTAATACTACAGTATTAGACAAATATTTTGACGATCCAATGATTGATTTGTATAAAGTACAATTCAACACCAAGTTTTTGTCTACTATATGTTTTACGGAGGAGAGTTGCGGAACTTTCAAAATTTTACAATTGATTTCCTTTGTTACCTAATTAAGAAGGAAATCATTCCCTTGCAGGTCGTGTCAATTGAAAAATGCCAATTTCACACTTTCTAGTCTCGATTAATAACAGATTTATATAGATGCTGAAAGTATGTACATCACTAACTTTATAGCTTGTTGATATTTTACCGCTCGGTATGAAATAAATGTGTAGGTACAGCTTTATTCATCGCGCACTTTGAATTATCCTGATTAAAAGTATCAAATACATTAAAGAATAAATATATTAATAACTTTAATAGTATTTACATTAAAATAGTGTTATAGTATGAATCCTTGAGAATTCGACCTTATTTCCTCCGTCCAGAGAATTAATCTGTACATTAGAGTGGTTTTAAAACGTGTCTTGAACGTAATATTGTAACAGATATACAATACATACACACCTTTTTGTAAGAGTACATTCATAGTACATACATATAAATCGTTTTATGTAATAGTAACTAAGGAAATTTGCCATCGTTTATAGTCACTAGTTTTGTGCTAATTTTAAGACTGCTTACTTTACAATATTATGTTTAATGATTTTCTATATGGAAATCTTTGATATACATTTCTTGTATTTATGCAGTAACTCGCTACATACTCAATTGATATATTACCTCAGAATACTTTACCTTACCTTATTTGAATTAAAACTCTGTGTACGGTAACGGCTTATTTATATGTTTATAGGCGAAAATATTATAAACTTAAAACTTCATCACGTTCATAAGCAAAGGACCAATGCCCTAAAGTTTCCTTTTATTGTAATTATTCCTGCTGAATGAATACGTTATTGTCCCAAAATATTGTTTATGTACTTGCTTCTTAAACTTAATTTGAATATAAAAATATATAAATAACGTATAGACATTAAGTAAAATACCAGTGAAATTAATCACATATCAAAATAATGAAGAAGGTGTCACATATCATTGATAATCTTGTTTATGTAACACAATTAGATTTTAATGGTTTCGTAAAAAAGATAAGATCAAATTCTGTCACAAAAAGAAAACTCGAATTTTTATTTTTATTTTATATTGAACGTTTGACTTAAATCTTGCCACTTCCTCTTCCACTTGGTCTGTAGTAAATAACACATATTAAACACTATAATATAATGTTTCACAATTTATCAAAACAAGTGAGTAAACTAAATATATAATAAAATATAATATAAAAAATAATAGTAAACAAAGTTGCGTAACAACTGCGTAGTTATCGAATTTTGACTCTTTGTGACTGAAGTTGACTATAACATATACATAATACAATCTCTGCTGCAGAACAAATTATTATTTACTATTTTTGATGCTTTACTTGATTAGTGAACGACATTACGTTTGCTGGTGATAGTATCTACACGTGAAAACTAACAATTTAAACAGTTTTTTGAGTTGATCAAAAAGGTGTTTTAAATTTCTATTACACGAAATTCGAAAATTCTGAAATGTCTACAGCAAGCAACATGAAGTGCCCTTAGTTAAGGAGAGGTCTCCTTTAAGACGAGATCAGAGTGCGAGCTAAAGTTTGATATTATATTGTATACTTTCTATCTACATCTACCTAGAAGATTACAAACATGCTTTGGCACTGAAGAGGTCACATCAAACATGACACTTTGGACTATGTCAAGCTCACACCGTTCTTATCTCATACGGCACAAGTGTCTAGCTTAACGTTCTCTTGACTATGCATTATCCATAGCTACATAATTACTTAAATAAGTAATATTTAACACACTGGGGCCTATTAAATTAATCAAAAAGATAATCACCGTAAGAATATTATTTTGCTACCTACAGTCTCCGTGTACTTAAGTACACCCTCTTTTGCACAAAATATTAGGAGTTAAACTTTATCGAGACAATGTTATGTATTTAACATTACCTGTGTATATTACCTACTTAAATATGTTATAAAATTTCGGTAAGCACACAAAAAATACATCTCTACAGAAAATTAGTGAAATCGTAAATTGTGTTTAGATAATTAAGTGTCTTCTCGTTGAGGATATTACTGAATGATTGCCATAAGTGTCTGTAGATGCCATATAATTTTAAATAAATTTACTCGTAGAGCGACCAGCCCAGCTCATCTTGTAAATGGCGCTGACATCGGAGCCGCACATACGGCGTATAAGCCCGCGGACCGTTTCTGCGGAGTTCTGTATCACTAAAACAACCATCGAGAGACGTCATACCTTTCTTATCATAAAACAACTTAATCTTGCGTCTGCGCATCTAAGCACTCGCATGAGCCGTAAGTGCAGCTTTGAAACGGCCTAATACTAAACTTATGCCTTAACTTATACCTCACCGTTTTACTGTTTTTGCTATTTCTTGTGTGTAATGTTTCAGTTTTAGTTATATTATTTTGTAATCTTTTTAAGTTATAATGAATGTTACTTTAAGTACCTACCTAACTTTAAGTATGTTGACTAAGTCACATGATAATTTATTACCAATGAAATGTTTTTAAAAACTTTTATAATATATACTTTCTTAGTTTTTTGTATAAATGAGTGTAAAAAGTTGAGATATATATTTTGAAAGGTAGCTACGGAGTTTAGTATTTTTAAATAAGTTAAGAAGTTGCCACAAGTGTGATTTACTAACATTTCTATAATTTGCCACGTTTTTTCGCGACTTTCACATCTTGCCTATTGGAAGTCACAAAACAGTTTTCCCGAAATACTTTATGTCTACCTACTTAATACTTGTATTACCATGATCTGTACCTAAGTCAGTGTGCCATACATTCAGTTTATTGCACTCTTTAGAAACCATACAAAGAGGTGGCGATTGTCCTTATTTCATAAATATAACTACAGCTACAAGTTTTAATTGTACCTCAAATTAAAATCTATCACGTGTATTTAGTGTCTATTTTGTATGGATATTATTATTAGGTGACTATACGCGTAAAGGTTACCGCTTACTAATCCAACCGAAATTGTGTCAAAATCAAAATCCCTTGTTTTTGCCATTTGTAATTCGTAATATAGACTAATTAGAACAAATTATTGTAGAGCTGGCTTCCTTGTCGTATTAATTTCGGTCTCTGATAGCCACAAACTATCCGCACATACTTAGGTGCCGGGTGTTTTATACGCAGATCCGCCACTACAGCTCGCAAATTTTAGGCTCTACATTGTCAATACGCCCGTCAATTGACAATATTTTATCATTACTTTGTTAAGGTACCAACGAGGAGATGCTGATTAGGTGCGAGACAGATAAGTAGAAGGTGACCTTTAGCTATGTTGTTGAACCATATTAAAAACAATATTGTTGTCTTATACTAACTATCGACACAAGTGTCTGTTTGTAATTAAGTATTTTGCTACAACAGTCACTTTCAGAAAAAGAAATAAATTTAGTCACATTTAGTTTGTATTACTGATTACTCCTTTCCATTCCTAGACCCTAGTTCAAGCTTGATTATATATAAGAAACAAAAAGTACATGTGTTTATCATCGCACATGTGTTTATTAACACGTTATCTAAGATTAACGCAAATACTTTCCGTAAATTTAAGTAGGTAGAAATAATTCTACGAAACCTGAAAAGAACATTTACCAACGGATATTAGCAAAGTAGTCTTACATGAAAGGGTCCCCCTCATAGAAATCATTTCCTCTACTACACTCCTTTGCATTATAGTGTTCTTTCAGTAGTCAAAATCTGACGGGCTATTTAGGAACGGCAGAACGAAAATGTATCGGTGTTATTGCTAATTAAATAAAATAGGTTATGCAACTGTAAATGCAGGACGCTAGGAGATGGCTTCATTCGCAGCGCTCCGTGCCAGAGCCTAATGAGCCCTTGTGCGCTAAGTTAGCACTAAAGACTTGCTCTCTTTGACCGACAGCAACTGCAACCCCGTTGATTGACTTTTGAGCCAGGATTGAATGTAATTTTGAAAACGTATTTCTATGCTACTTAGCAATACCCACGCTTAGCTAAACAAAAACATTATGGATAACAAAAGTTAACAAAAAACGTCATGTGCTCCATAGAGCTTTCTTTTTTAGATTAGATTCGGCTGGTGTGCCCTAAAATTTTTCTTTTTCTAATAGAGAACTTCAATACGACTCACCCAGTGACCCTATTTTGACGACGACTGCAAAGTGCTAATCGAAAAACAGTTACTAACACCCTTAAACATTTGCACAAGCACTCTACCGTTACTACCTACTTTATAACTAGACGATTGACATCTGCACACGCATTTTGTGGACAATATTGCAGTAACAGTGTTTCTGTGTAATGCAATAGACGCAGCTGAAGAATATAAAGAAATAAAGCCGTGGGCCTTGTGCTACTGAGTAAAAAAATGACATATTAGTCTATATAGGAATTTTAACACCAGTTTAATATTGCCTAGAGACGGAGATATTTTGACAGCAGTTGAAAATATGGATCGTAAAATAATCTTGGTGGCCTTGGCGATTTACCTGGTAGCGTGCGCGGCGCTGTCGGTGCATCACGAAGATCTTGCTGATGACGAATTCGAAACGCATATGGAGAGGGAGGGAAAAATATGTAAGCTTTATATTAATAAGATTTGCACAGATACTTAAGAGCTGTACAGCTCTTGTCTCCTCACTATTCGTATATTCATTGTCATCGTAAGTGGCATTAAGTTGAATTTAAATAATATTAAGTTTAAGCACGGTAGTCTGGTAAGGCTAAAATACAGACTGCTTTTAGCTTTCGTCTTGAGACTTTGACGAAACATTTCCAATGGCGGACTTCGTTAAATTTGAGTAATTTGTATGCAGGGGCAAATACAAGTATTATCATATATTTCCCAAAATACGTAATATCTAAGCAAAAATGTATAAAAAGATATAAAAAACGTATATATATGCTTTGCTTTAAACGCAATAAAAGTAAACCAGATAAGATTGAGTTTCATGAAAGATACGTACAACATAAATCAAAACACAGGAAGTGCAACGTCCCCCGGAAAACTATACATAAAATTAATCCTTTGCAGTGTTCCCGTTCGTCAGCATCGTGCGTTTCGCGAACACGGAATGCTCGAGTGGAAGTGCTATGAGTGGCACGTGTCTCGCGCGCCGTGAATGCAATAACCTCAACGGCACCCCCACAGGAACCTGCGCCTCCAGGAGAGGACGCTGCTGTGTTGGTTTGTTCTCTCTTTATTCTGCATATATAAATGTATACCTATTACAAGATATCAGAATGGTTCATGAGACTGACCATACATATTGTGTACAAGAATTTACACCTTATTTATTTGGTAAAAAGTACCTACTCTTAAGACAATCAAAAATGCACAACCGCACAATCCACTTTTTATTTCACGTAAGTAGTTTTTAAGAAACACTTCAAAATCTCCGATACCCAACAGATAAGAGTTGCCAACAATTTTATCCTTGATAAGGCAAAAGTTCAAGACATGTTATTGGTTATTTAATAAGCACAATGCTTTGATATATGACAAGACGTGATGATAATCTGTAATTCTATAGTGCAAAGATCGTGTGGCAGCACAACAAACGTGAACAACACTTATTTTACGAGTCCTGGGTACCCAGGGGCGTACTCGGGTGGGCAGGCCTGCAGCATCATCGTAAATCGATGCAACAACCAAATCTGCCAGGTAATCTATCCTATCTTAGTGCAACTTCATATTTATGAAGCCTCAAAGAACACAATATAGCACTGAAAAAATTAAATACGACAAATCACCAGTTTACCTGTACAATACAGTTGCGAATAGACTTCCTGGACTTGGTGCTGGCTCAACCCGACGGCGACGGTGTGTGCACCACGGACTCTGTGACTGTCACTGGCGGTAACACCGTGGTGCCAATTCTCTGCGGCGATAACACTGGTCAGACTATCTTTGTCGACTTCAACGGGAACACTGCCATAACGATCACTGTCAGTGCCACCTTGGCGGCCACCTTCTCCAGAAGGTGGAATATTAAATTTACACAACTGGGTTGCGACTGTCCAGGCATAGGTGAGTTACTGTGCTTATCCTGCTTTAAGGAGTAGTATAAATAAGTCCAGTACCATAGCTACCGCTTAGCAATCAGATTTCTCCCCCAGACGACCTTGAAATAGGACTAAATAAAAGAGTATAACCTATACCCATTAACAATGTTACCGTCTTTTGACCAGCACCAAACGGTTGTCTACAATACTACACGGGCGTGTCAGGCACAATTAGCAGCTTTAATTACGGAACAGGCGCAAACACAGCACTTAGTGCTTCGCTGGTTACGGGCACCCGACAGATAGCGAATCTCAATTACGGCATATGCATACGAATGGAAGCTGGTTACTGCGCTATACAGTACTCTCAGGTAAGCAAAAAAGTAAAATCACTATTTAAACTTACCTAATAAGATAAAATACCTATAAATTACTAGATATAAAGAACAAATGCTGGGTAGATACACATTTGTTGCAATTACCTGTGGGAAAGAACGATCGATATTTCAATCCTCGCATAGAAATCTCGCACTTTATGTCGCTCTCGCGCAAGTCGCGCCTTATCGTGCTAGCCCTACAGGTGGTTTGATGAATTTATCTATGAACACTCAAAGTGGAGATCCCCTGAAGACTCAGCAGTAAACATCTATACGGTAGGAACAAAAGGTGCGAAGTAGTGGCGCCGATTACGAAATAAACCAAGTATATGTTTATATTTCACTGTTCCCTCGTCGATAAAATGCAGTGGTTTCTACATTTGAAAGTAATATGTGACATGTACAATTTGCACTAGACGTCAAACATGTACTCATTCACGGTGACGGGCGACGTGGAAGGCGCCGACAACACGGTACTGGGGACGCCCGCAGGCGCAGTCACAGGCACCGCCTGTACCACTGACTTTGTGATCATCCCCGACCCTGTAGACACAACCACCGGGTTATCAGTCGGCAATGATCGTTTCTGTGGACTTGGCTTTATGCCGGTGCAGAGTAAGTGACTTCAGCCAGTTTCTTTTACTATTGATATAGTGCGCATTTCGACTGCGACATCACGCATTTTCTGTTTGTTCGATTGAATCAGAATTTTGTAAAAGTTCTCCGAACGAACGTTCGTGTTTTGTTATTTTAAATCAGAAGTTACAAGTTGTTTAAATATACTTTTTCAGTCGTGATACATAAACTGCCAGATCACATAAAATCGTTAAATGTGTATATCTGTACTAAGATTCAGTAAAAATTGTAAATATACTGAACTAATTTATAATATAAACTGTCTCCGTGGCCAAAAGGTTACCGTGCTGGTCTGCCATGCAGATATCCCGGATTTGATTCCGGAGCCGGAAGAAATATTTGTATAACCTACATTTGTGTGAGCTTGATTGTAATTTGTGGTTGTCTATGTGCGTCCATGGCACCTGCCATACAGTTTCCTTAGTGCGGGGCTATAAGTGTGTGCGTTGTATATGTACCTACCTATGCTGAAATAATTTACTAACTTTTAATGATTATAATAGGCTTTCAATTCTTCTGAAGCGTTAGAGAATATAATTGTATACTTAAGAATTTGCATTTCACCGAAATTAATTACACTTCGCATATAAACAAAATTGTTAAACCTGCTTGGTTTCAATGGGAACATCCTGGCCGCTGTATGGTAGATGCGACAGTTATTCAAATAACTGTCAAAGTATTATTTGTCTGTGCCAGTCTGTGCTTCTAAAATTATAATAGGTTATGGGTTAACTTTTTTTTTGGTTGCAAAAAAGTGCTATGGAAAATAAAAATCCTCCATCGGTAAGCCTACCGGCACTACAATCGTCAGCCACCATTAGCAAGCTGACCGGGAAAAATTTCAACACCTGGGTTTTCAGTATAGAGTGTCTCCTTACTGACCTAGACCTATGGGACGTTGTAATAGCAGATGTCGACCTAGCTGACCCTCTCGCCAAGCGAAAGGATGCCAAAGCACGGGCGAAGATTTGCTTATCCTGCGACGAATCCGGATATCCCGTAATAAGGTCAGCTAAAACTGCTAAACAAACCTTTGACTCCCTTAAAAAGGCGTATGCTGACAGTGGCTTGTCACGCAGACTAGGGCTAATGAAAAAGCTCTTAGCCAACGAATTTAGAGGAAACATGCGTACGTGAAAGAGTACGTGAACATGGCGTTAGCAACACAGCAAGAGCTACAGAGCATAAACGCCGCAATGGACGACGAGTTTCTTGCCATAATTATGCTCACTGGCCTTCCGGAGCGTTACCAGCCACTAGTCATGGCGCTTGAACACTCCAACACGAAGATCACATCAGAAAATGTTGTTGCTGCTCTCCTAAAAGAGGACTCGTCGAGGGTTGTACGCGCCTCTACAAGTACTAATGTACATAAACCAAATGAGCCTACTGCTCTACATGTTAAGAAAAACGTACAAAAGAAAAAACTATTTTGTTCGTATTGTAAAAAGTTAGGGCATGTTGTGAGTGAATGTAGAATAAAAAACAAGCAAGTTTCGGCAACGTGTATTTCAAATTATACATCACATATTACACTTTCATCTTGTTTCACTAACGCTCCTTCCACAGGTTCACAAGATTGGTAAATACGGCTATATACCTAAAGAACCGTATGCCTTCTCAGTCCTTGAAGAACAAGATTCCAGAAGAACTATGGACCGGCTACTAAGTCAATCTTTCTCATCTGAAGATCTTTGGCTGCCAGGCCCACGTTCTTTTGCCAAAAGAAAAAAGAAGTAAACTTGAACCAAAAACACAATCATGTGTGTTCACAGGTTACTCAACTGAGACCAAAGGCTACCGACTCCTAGATCCCCACAATCCGCGAACAATAATATTCGCTAGAGATGTTGTCTTCCTAGAGGACAAAACCTTTGAAACTGTTCCTCACACTTGTGTTGAATCCCATTCATGTCCACAGACACCTTTAATACAGTTTCATGTTCCACTCGATGATGAACCAGGCCCGTCACCACAGCCACAGCTTCAACCACAACCTGTGACCCCGGAGCCGTCACCTTTATTAGAAGGACCTGTAACATCCTCACAAGATGTTCCCGAACCTGAACTCATCGTAGAGCCCTCACCTGAACCTGAAAGAAGGTATCCAACCCGAATCAGGAATCCCCCCGAAAAATATGGAGAACAAAAGCTTTACATGACTTCAGATCTCGAACCGGAGACTTACACTGAAGTTACAGGTCATCCTCAAGAGGAAAAGTGGGTAGAAGCAATGCAGGCTGAACAATGCATTTGCCTGTCAGGTATATAAAAAAAAAAAAAAAAAAAAATAATATAAAAACATGACTCGTTATTAAAACACGGGACATGGGTTCTTGTCGATGACCAGTGAACAGGAAAACTACGAAATGTAAATGGGTGTTCAAAATCAAAAAGGACACAAGTGGACAAGTCACCAAATACAAAGCCAGATTAGTTGCCAAAGGTTTCACCCAAGTAGCTGGAGTGGACTACGGCGAAACTTTTTCTCCGGTCGCTAGACTGTCGTCAGTCCGAGTTCTACTGGCATTTGCTGCTAAACATAAGCTGCAAGTAGAACATCTCGACGTCGAAACCGCGTTCCTGAATGGTGACCTAAATGAGGAAATTTACATGGAACAACCAGAAGGCTTCTCTACCGACCCAAAGGGCAAAGTATGCCTACTTAAAAAGGCTTTATACGGTCTTAAACAAGCTCCACGACAATGGAACATCAAAGTGTGCGAAGCTATGCACAAACTCAGCTTAAACCAAGCAACAAATGAGCACTGTATTTACTACAGACGAGATGGTAATGATATTCTCGTAGTTGCTGTGTTTGTTGACGACTTCTTCATTGTCTGTACAAATGACATCATGAAGAATGTTTTTAAAAATAAGCTCAAGGAGCAATTTATAGTTAAGATCTTGGTATCCTCAAGGACTGCCTGGGGATGAGAGTTAAACAAACTACCGAAGAAATAACTCTCGACCAAACCAAATACATTGAAAAATTAAATCATAAGTTCGGCATGACAGATGCAATTTCGGTGACAACTCCTTTGGAACCTGGCATCAAACTAACGCTGCCTACAAAGGAAGAAGAAGAAGAAGTCCCGTACCAGGAACTTATCGGCTCACTAATGTACATTTCCATTTGTACGAGACCAGATATTGCTCACACAGTCTCTTACCTCTCGCAGTTCAATGCACATTACGGGGGGGTACACTGGAAGGCCGCTAAGCGTGTTCTTCGGTACCTTAAAGGCACCAAGGATCACCGACTACATTTTAAACCATCAGGTCAGTTCCAACCCGTGTGTTATGTTGATGCCGACTATGGAAACAATCTTGTGGACCGACGTTCATACACCGGTTTTGTATTTTTATAGAACGGTACCCCTATATCATGGGAAGCTCGCAAGCAGCGTACAGTAGCACTTTCCACGACAGAAGCCGAGTACATGGCTCTGGCGGAGGCTTGCAAGGAGGCTATTTACCTCAAATCGTTCATAACCGAAGTATTCGCCGTCACTCCACAACCCATCATCATACACACTGACAATCAAAGTTCTATCAAATTAGCACACAATAACACTTATCATGCACGCACCAAACATATTGACATTAAACACCACTTCATCCGCGACTCACTTATATTACATAATCTTCACCTGAAATACATACCCACACAAGACATGATTGCGGACATTTTCACAAAACCGTTGCCGAAACTAAAGCACACCAAATGTGCACACTTATTAAGTTTAGGTTAAGGTTTTCTTTGTATGTATATAGGGTGTGTAAGTTAGTCATAGGTAGGTGTATATACAGGTTGATATTTTTATATTCAATGTTTATTGGTGTGCAGTGTTTTATATGTATAATTTAAGTGTGTGTTCACTTTGTTATTGCCAACAGGATGTTCACATTGCGGGGGGGTGTTAAACCTGCTTGGTTTCAATGGGAACATCCTGGCCGCTGTATGGTAGATGCGACAGTTATTCAAATAACTGTCAAAGTATTATTTGTCTGTGCCAGTCTGTGCTTCTAAAATTATAATAAAAATAAATAAAGAGCGTCCGTTTGTATACTCAGCCACAGCTTAACTTTTACAAATTATCATTTTTTGAGACTGTAAATATAAAAATTAAAATATAATTTTCAAAACAGAATTGTAATATCTTTTTTTCTATGACTCACTGTGCACATAAAAGATATAAATGTTAAAAGGTTTTTGAGCTTAGTAAAAGTATATGGTAGGTCAATGAGTATAAACTTAATAAGTGCATAAAGTATTTGAAAACGCTTCGTGTTAGAAATGCATTGTCTTTACTGCCGGTGATTGCAAGATCTTGGCCGCGTTCTTCGTTACGTTTATAAAAGTAATCCATAAGTGACATTTAAAGATTTTGATGGACGTCGATTACAACGTCCATGGTCCCATATTGTAGTCCCGAAGTAATTAAAATATGTTTTATACATATGATTAAGTCCCGAAATAATATTAAATAACGTGTGAAAATCGTGAACCTACCTATATATGTATAACATTGGTAGTAAATAACAATTTTGTTTTGATTACAGCTGGAGCGAAACCGTTTGTTCTGTATGTAGTTACAGACGGCGGCGAGGGCGCCACTGCCGCCTCCCCGCCGGACATTGCCAATAGAGGATTCTCTCTAGCTTACACACAGACAGCGTGCTAAAGCATTTCTTGCATTGTTACAATAAAATGCTTATAAAAAGATTATTATTATATCACTTCTACAAAACGGAATAAAAATGTACAGTCCAGAGCACGTCAATCTTGACACTTTGTACCGTTCTTATCGTAAGCGGCATAGAGTTGGATTTAACTCTTAAGTGTCAAGGTCGACGTGCTCTTGACTCTGTACCATCGAACGATAAATTAAACTTGAAAGGAAGACTTCAATAGCATTCGTGTCAATTTTATAATTGTTTTCTTTTCGATCATGTTAAAATAAATGAAAAATAGTTTGTGTAACATAATAGCGTCTAATTTCATTATTCATAAACAGTAATCACAATATTTTAATACTCTATGAGAATACTCTAAAACATTATGACTCGTGGTACTTCAAGCTTGAGTATCATAAAATTACAACAAACAAAGTGAACAACGTTACAATTAGCTAACCTACAATATTTCTACAACGACTTTATAGTTTCCGTGGACGAGATTGGAAATGACACATTACAATTGACCATATAGCTTAGATATTCCTTTTGATTTATATCACATTGCATATTGTTTAAGTACTGTTATAAATTAATTAAAATTACTTCAGTGTCCAGGGCAATAAACTATCCGTACTGAACATAAAAAATCTCGCTGAAAATCAGTTGTTAATGGCATTAACGGCCAGAACTCGGCCCCGTTTCTGTTGTATCATGTTACTCATTTCGTCGAACCATTTGCCAATCTTGGTGTGGTTTCTTAAATCTTGGAAGGCCGTGCACCCTTCGATGCTGCTCAGGACTCCGTATACAGTGATGTCGGCAAGATTCGGCTGCTCTCCTCCTAAAAATGGTGTGCCTTTCTGTTGGACAGCCTTCATCCACTTATTCGCCGCGTCGTACAATGCCTGACGCGCATCTTCAATATGGTGTCTGCCGAAAAAATTTAAAAGAATTTGGACGTGTAAAGTTGGGTTTCCACGAGTTCACACCAACTCGCCGTGAGAAGAGGGCAGCCTGCACAAACGCGCACGGGCCCGCCTACGAGGGCCCGTCGGATCTGCCGCGTATCGGTACCTTCAAAGGCACGGCGCGAGATCACGTGCTTTCGGCAATTATTCTTTGTTTGACAGTGTTAATTTGGATGATTATTATGAATTGGTAATTAAATTCAACAAAATGTTAAGAATTTATCTCACAATTCAAAAATGGCTGCAGTAATAACTATGCCTTCTTGACATGATATTTTGAAACGGTAGTTCAATCCAGATTAGAGCTCTCGACATACACCCGAATAACGACATCGTGCGCGTCGGCCCGAGGCGGCCTATAGACTCACCTCTTGAAATCACAGGCCATGGGAAGCAAGCATACCAAGCTGCATCTTAATGCTCAATGTATAAGTACACATTGTTTTGTATGTTCCAAAACCTCTTAACTATCTCGTTTAAGCTATAATCGTAATACTTACCTAGCTTTAAGCCTTTTAGCAATTATCCACATAGCCGCAGCACCGCCGTAGACCATCAGAGCGCATTCCCAGGCAGGGAAAGAATTCCGCCATCCTCCAGCTTCTTCAAACCACTTGAAGGTTTCTAAGGCTTCGAACATGGTACGGTACACGTTGGGCGATAATGTATGAACGAGGACTTTGTCTGCCCATAGTCGCCATTCACGCTCCTCGCTGAAAGTCAAAACTAAGTACATAGCACACAGGACACAAGGTAATCTTGGCAAGGCTGTAGCTATGAAATAAACGACAACATCTATCTGTTTCTTATTATAGATAAGTAACAGCTTTACTGCTGCCCACACCGCATCTTGACTGTCGATGGGTTTTTTTTTGCGAAGCCTACATATAAATATATTAGTTGTGGTGGTGATTGTGGCGCATGTGCACGCGAAAACATATTACTTTGAAGAATAGACCTCAATTACAACACAATGCGGTGCCTACACTTTACTCAATTGCGTCTGTTGGTGATATTTTACGGCCTGTAGTCAGCCATACACATACGTACTGAGATTGATACCTTTAACTTAACATGTTCTCAGTACTTAATAAAATTCAACAACTTACGCTTCCGCTTTTGCTTCTTTTTGATCTGGCACTGGTGCGTTGTGCATGACAAAGTATCTATTTGCAACCTCGGAAACTGGCTTCCCATCATCAGCAGGGAACTGATTGACTGGATAGAACTTGACGATTTCAGTCAGCGGCACACTCTTGTCTCGCATGTATGTCTCCAGCACTGATATTATAGCTGTACTGTCTAACATTTGCTGAAAACAAGTTTCATTTGTTATTTAATACATTTGTGTAGTTGAATATCAATAGTAGAATATTTAAAAAAAAAAATAGAAGATATTAACAAAAATACTTTATTGCACAACAGGAATGTATATTACAACAACATATAGATTACAGTTATACAATACAGCTGAGCATAATGCTAAGCTTACTATTATTATCTCTGGAAATTAACATACCTGATATCCACCATCAACCTTCGCTAGCAGTATTGGCACCTTCTTATACCCGGACCACTTGATGGCCTGGCGCAGCACAGCGTCCACCTCGACTATCTCATAGCTGATACCTCGCGAGTCCAAGTATGCCCTTACTTTGCAACAGAATGGGCAAGTTCTGAATTGGAACAGCACCAAGTGGAGATTACTATTGTCTGCTTCATTAAGTATCTGTAAAATGCAAATAGACAAAATTTGGAAATGTTAAATAATTATTATATTAAATTTTTAAAGTTTGAACCTGTTAAACAATAGTTCATACTTAAGTAAATAAATATGAACTGAATCATAAATTCAATCAATTAATTCCTAGAAAGGTGTGTGAAAACTACATAATCAATAATAAGAGAAAGATTTCGCAGTCCAGAGCCGTTGATTTAAAATTAAAATGCACCTACTGAAGTGGTCGTGTTTTCTTAGAGTCTCTGTTCTCATTTCTGGGTACATAGTAATAGGTAATTTTTAAGATATATGATAAATATAACAAACAATCAAATTTGCTATTGCAGATCTTACATAATGTAAAATGGTGATTTCAAAATTACAATTACAAGGTAATAACCAGAAATGAAATAGATAGTAATTTAGTTCTATACTAGATACTCAACAAGCACCAAGGCCAGACACTGTTGCTGCAAAATAGTAAAAGAAGAAAGTAAAGTTAAAAAGGTGACAGAGCTGAAATGAAAATACTATTAGAATTTTTTTTTGTAAAGAAAATCTTGTAAGAATGTTGTGTGACGTGACAAGTAAGTTGTGTGGCTGGTGGGAAGCTACACTCCTGTCCACAACACTTGCAGTGCCACTCAGAGCTTCAAATCGCAAAGATCTGAATTCTTACTGTGAATCAACCAGTGAATATTTATCACCATATCCAACACCTTCTAAAAGAAACAGGAAACAAAACAAATCAACATCTCACAACACCTTTTGGGATTGTTTTAACAAAGTGGCAAATGAAAATAATATCCCACAGTGTCAGAATCATGAAAATAATGAGAAGTTTTTTGTTAAGTGAAATACACATGATAAAAATCTTATATAAATACAGAAATGACCAATTGCAACAATATTTAAAAGAATTGCTAATTTATTATAATTCAGTTTCAATATTCATTGAGTTGTCTATTTGCTGTACATCATGACGCAGTTATATAATTAAATATTTGTTTATCTTTGCATTGTATAGCATTTACTTAGCATAGCACTTACTATAAAGATAACTAACAACATTGACATCACGAAAATAAGCGTAAGTATGACCACTCCAGCGATAGATCCAGATGTAAAAAAGCATGAAGGTTAGACAGGTAATAATCGGCCTAACCTTGTAATGTGGTTGATACTCGGGAGGTTCTTTCAAAAATGCGTATTCTTGATTCTGTCCTGGTGCCGGGATCATGTAGGGTTTTTTAACGTTTACTTTGTAGTGTGTATAGCCGCCATAGCCAGCCCCCACAAGGACACCGACACTTGCACTAATCAAGGTAATTTTAGCTGTCGAATTTGGGCGCCGGTCCTTTGTTGAGTACAGAATTTTAGTAATGTTTACATTTTCTTTCAGAGATGGTAATATTACTTTTCGCAGTATCGTAAATGTAGGACGCCACATTTTACAGCGATACAATCTTTTACATTAGGGTACAAAAGAAGTTTTGAATTTTGCAATTTTCCAATATTTTGCAATATTTTTTTTTGTTTTGTTTCTGGCACTTCGCGGTTTGCGTTTGTGCCACTGCAAAACGGGGAAACTGAACTTATTTACGGAAAACAATGGGAAGGAAAATAATTTGGAAGATAGAATCCCACACACAATAGAAATATATAAACGTACTGTATTGAAAATTGAAAGAGAAATGTCAACGTTTTAGGGACGGGTGTAACAAATCGTATATAGTTATTGAATCTATAGGTATATTGTGGCAATATCGAATATCCGATATCGTGTATTTTAGAAAGAGACGCATCGCGTATTTTATAGCGATGACGAATCAAACCGAGCGATTACAGAGTGCATAACAACACGAAATCGCATATTTTGCCAAACTATATACCGATATTGCTTCGTATCAAACATTCGCTGAGTGAAATATGTTATAGCAAATGTTTTTTGTGCATCTTCGAAACTGTATATTATATCAAAAAAAGTTAATTTTTTAATGGATGTGATTGCATTCTGGCGTAACGCATACCCATCCAATGGTGGACGATACGATTTAATCAAACGGCAAGATATCCAATGATATATAGTTTCGAATATCAATAACGGCAATGTATGCACCAAAGCAGCGCACGGCGCGGCTGCATCCAGGAATATATAGTTTCGAAATCCGATTTCGAATATCGATATATAGTTTCAATACGATATTCAGAAAAAGCTATATTAACCATACCTACAATGTTTTATAGATGTGTAAGCATTGACTTACAAATAAATGGACGACGCCGACGGGTCTAATACAAAAACCACGAAAAAAATGTCCCAAGTCAACCTATTTAAACGTAGTGATATGTAAAGGAATATGAAAAAGCTAAGACGTTGAATTTAAATTGTAATGTCATCGCAGTACTGTCTAATTTTGCTTGCGTCGCTGTCAGAAGAAACAAACGAAGACTAAAGCGTGAATGACGCTCTGTATACGATTTTCACGCCCTATAAGTTCGGACACTTTTTAGCGCGGACCCGACGTCCATATAATTGTAAGTCAATGTGTGTAAGTAATATTTTATATTATATTGTGTGAGTAATATTACAAAAGTGATATCACGCGACAGGGTAATGTGATATGATATCAGGCATCACTGGAAAATTATGCATTACACATAAATAATCGATAATTCGGAATAAAACAGCTGAGATTGTGATTTCATGTGCCGGTCATGTTGAGCTGAGTAGCGTTCGGTCATTAAAATTTCCATTTAAAAATTGTATTTTTCAGAAAAATAAGCATTTTTCTAGATACTTTTTCAATATTTTTTCTTTAATTTTCACAATTGACGTTGACACCTGTCGAAAGTTGATGTTACTGAACGGAAACGATGAAGCCAACTACAAGTGGTGGTGTGGAAGTTTTTCGCTGTTGTGAAATCGTTTTAAATCTCGTTTTTCTTTAAGTGGCCTTGAGCTAAACAAGTTTATAAAACGTACGTAATAAAGTATATAAATAATTCAAGCTATAAAACTTCAAGAGAGATTTAAATACGTAGAATGTCATATGACCTTTCCAAATTATATTTTTTCAATTTATCGGGAATTTTTCCGGAAAATTTCCACTATTTGAATATTTTTGGAAAGTTATCCAACAGTAGAGCTGAGCCAGAGAAAAAGAGGAATTTTTACATTATGAATTCTATTTCATTATAGGGCGCTCTCTCGGCGTTCTATATCAATATTAATAGCGCCATCCAGCGAGTTGACCTCGTACTACTTGATGGAACCTTGCATACCAGGGCATAGTGTTAAGTAGCGCTGCTCGCCAAGTGTCGCTACTAACACCCACCACCCGGCCCGAAATAGTGCGCGTGATGCGTAATGTATAATGTTATGTGTCATAGTAATATTACGGAGTGATGTTTATGATGCGTGATGCGTAATGTGTGATGGTAATATTACGAAGTGACGCTTATGATGACACATTACTTTTTTGTTTATGTAATGCGAGTGATGTTGTATTACACTGTAATGCAAAGTAATGGTAATATCACGGAGTGATGTTTACGACATGTATTATTTTTAGTCTGCGTGATGGAAGTGATAGTAATGTTACGCGTAATGGAATGTGATGGTAACGGCGCCTAATTTGGAATGTTACTGTATTACGTTGTTTGTATTACTGCCCAATTTATTTATGAACTTTCCAGATGTTATAAAACAATTAAATTGTAGACAATTTAAAATGAAATGGCCCAATTTGTTATTAAATGCTGTTACAATGTTTTGATTTTTTACTTGATAATTTAGAATGAAAAGTTTAACTAATGCCAGAGGGTTCTTAATATTGCGTAACTTTTGTTTGTCCCTCTCGAGTAATATAGCTCTTATTTATAATGCAAATTTCACTTCTAAAAATGCGTTATATGTTGTGCTATAAAACGCATCTCTTTTTAGTTAGACCAGCCTTTCCCAAAGTGGGCGATAACGCCCCCTTGTGGACACTGCAGGCCTAAAGGGGGGCGGTAAGAGACCCAGAAAAAAAGGGGGGCGTTGTGTAAAGGCTTAGAGGGAGATTTGAAATTTCATCTAGGTTAGACTCCTAGACACCGACTGAACTCTCGACTATCGACTACAACTTGTGTACATCAACTAATATTAATTAAGAGATTGCTCAAACTAGCTCGGTTAGATATTTCTCTTCGTGTAGTTCATGTCTGTCCTGTTTAATTGAATAAATAAAATAAAAATCATGTCAATCGATCGCTCCGTTTCAAAATGAAAGTAGACACAAACAAATAAATAAAAAAGCAACAGACACAGTTTCGCATTTTAATAGTTATTAGTATTCATTTCGTAGACGGAATCATGTTGAAAAGACGGGCAATCATGTTTTAACAAGTTTTTGTTAAACAACCGGATTTGTGCATCTCTGTATCAATCGGCTGGTTCATAGAATACTTGTTGAATACGATTGAGTGTCGAATGAGATAAACGAGCATGTTTGTCTTATTCCTGTCGGTGCGTGCTGCTTATGCAATCCTATATAAACAAGTAATATTTATTTTATTTTCATTTGCGGTTTCGCGCGTAATACATAAGCAGTACTGAAGTTCAATACTTACTTACGTATTAAATGAAGTAAAAAAAAGGAGAGACGGCAATACTGTGCGGAATATATTAAATTCGGATTCATTGAAAATCCCACAAACCCATCGCGCCTTCGTGCCTTCCATGTCTAAAAACATTTTCGAATGCAAGATCATTTGAACAAAATGCATCCAGATAAGAAATACAAGAATGTAGCATATTTTCAAGACCTAGAAAAGAAGCGTAATACTCAGCCAAGTGTAATAAATCTCTTTTCGGCAGCTGCTAAGCAAGATGACGACGGACTTCGAGCTTCGTACACTATCTCTTTGTTAATGAAGAGTTAATTTTACCAGCAATAAAGGAAGTAATAACTACTGTGCTTCATAAACCGGCCGCAGATATTATCCTAATAATTACTTTGAGTAATAATTCTGTGCAAAGACGAATTGATGAAATGACTGAAAACATTGAAGAATAATTGTGTAATCATCTGAGGACTGGTCCATTCTCAATTCAGCTCGATGAGTCCACTTTACCAACTAATGAAGCATTGTTGCTGTCTTACGCGAGGTTTATTAAACATGAGAAAATATGTGAAGAACTATTGTTTGCTAGAAATTTAGAAATCGATACAAAAGGCGAATCCATATTCAATACATTGGAAAAGTTTTGTGATGAGAAAGGGATTCCCTTGAAAAATATTATATCAGTTGCTACGAATGGCGCTCCGGCTATGACAGGGTGCCATAAAGGCATCATAGCGTACTTAATAAATAAAATTCCAGATGTCCTTGCTGTACATTGCGTTATTCATAAACAACATTTGGTTTCTAGAAATTTAAGTGCACAACTATTTCAATCACTACAATATGTCGTCAAAGCAGTCAATAAAATCCGTAACAGCTCTTTGAATGATAGATTATTTCATCAGCTTTGTGTTACTAATGATGAAGATTTCAACCGTTTGTTGTTTCATACTGAAGTTCGTTGGCTATCAAGAGGCAATTGTCTGACTCGATTTTACAACTTGTGTGAGTCTGTGATAGAGTTCTTGGAAACCAAAGATACATAATTGCGCAACAAGCTCATTACACCAAAGAATGACATAACTTACATGACAGACCTATATAAAGTTTTCGCAGCCAAACTGCTTCTACACAAAAAGCATATGGGCAGACGTGAGTTTCACAATTTTCCGAATTTATCAGTATTCTGCAGTAACGACGACTTGTTTGCCTACTGCCAACATTTGGAAAACCTCCACATTGACTTCACCGAACGATACCAGGACCTTTTGAACTTGGAAATACCAGACTAGGTGTTGGATCCGTTTTCAAATGTCAACACAGCAATATCACCTCAGCTGGAAGAAGAACTTATTGAATTGACAACGAACCGGAAATAAAAATCAAGTTCAAAAATGGCTACCAAGAATTTTGGCTACAAAAACCGATCCCGCAATTGTAACCTGGATTGTGGTCAACCGTTCAACGATTCTTGATAGCATTCCCATCGTCATATTTGTGTGAACGTGGTTTTAGTACTGTGATAACGCTGCTTACTAAAAATAGAAATCGTTTGCATGTTACCGAACGTGGTGACTTGAACAAACTTATTAAGTTGTCTTCATTTATTTAGTGCAGAGTACCATAATTTACTTACTAGACGCCGTAACTTCGTGAGCTAGTAGACAAAGGTTCTCGAATTTTCAATTTGTATTGCCGATAAATATTACGTAGTGAATACACCTAATTATTAACTAAATAATATGCTAAACTTGGACATGCAATTTCAATAACTTGGTTACCTTATTTAAACAGCATCAGATTCATCCTTCACATTAGTTTTTATATTATTATCGATTATGTTTGTTTTATTTTGAATAAAAGATACTCTGTTTGAATACTATATAGTTGCGTTTCAATAATCATTCTCATTGGCAGATGTAGCCCGTAAGAGTTAACTTGAGACCTGAGCGCCGTTGTGTACTACCTACTGTGCTCAGGTCTCTAGTTAACTCCTGCGG